ATAAAAGACTAGAAAAATCCAAATATCCATAAAAAACAACTGGATAGACAAATGTAAGATGGGAGTTGAGATTCAAAATGGAATAGAGTGGATATTTAACAACCATTCATACTTATAATTCTGAGAAAGGGTTATTTATCATATATATTTTCTTACATATTCGTAAGTGACATTAAAATTTATAAAATTATAAAAATAACATAATTGAAAATTTGGAGATTAAAAATCAGAAGAGGAAAAAATATTACCCATAATATTATCACAGGAAAATAATCATATATTGCTTTAGTATAACATTTCCTTCCAGTATTTATTTCCAATTATATTATGAAAAATAATAACCAAAGTCTTGATAAAATCCACATCACTCCTCAGACTTATTAAAACAGGCACTGGGCGCTAATGGAGGAGGAACCTTAAGTTTAATTATAATTTGTTCTCAAAATCTCCAAACGACTCTGATCAAGTGCTTTTCCCCATCAGCATGCTTTTCTCAAGCTCTGTAAAAGCAACAGAGCTTGCCATGAAAGCCTCTCAAGATGTAGAGATAGGAAATGGTTTATGTAACATGGAAAACCCCTAGCTAAATGGAATGTGAATATTCAGGCTGGGACACAAAAATTTTTTTTTGAAAAAGCACAACTACAGGAAAATATTTGGGAAGAGTTGAGCTGTTTGAGTTCCTTGTCACCTCTTTGTCATGCTTGATTTTTTTGAATCGAAGTAGGGAGACAGTGCCTTCAAAGAGAATCTCATTAGAAAATGGCTATAGAATTTGAGGGAAGGATTTAGCTGCTTCTTAATCTTGGTGCTCAATTCAATCTGCAGGATATATACCAGAAAATAGATGAAATCCTGCTTTAAAAATAATTAGAATTACTAATACTCCAGAGGGCAGACAAGGAAATGCTTAAGATGACAGATATCATTCTGCTCTACAAAACCATTCTTCATTCTTTTAAATGGATATGCAAGCCAGTCACGTACTTGCCATTAAGGATAGTAGGCAGATCCAACAAAATGATGTCTGGTTTTAGAAACTGATAGGTCCAAATTGATCCTAACAATTAGGAGCATTAAGTCAAATACTGGTGTCTGAGCAAAGACAGAGAGACACTGGACTAAATGGAATGGAGTTACTTAATGCCAGTGAGATGATCCAGATAAAAGTGGCCAGATATGTTCCTGCTTTAGAATCTTCCCTGGGCCACTGAGAATGTGGAAAGGAGGGCTCTGACAAAGGAGATTTTCCTTATGTGCAGCACGAATGAAGTGAGTGTACCTAAGAAATATCCTCGTGCTTGCTTGGGCAGCACATATACTAAGAAATATCCCCAGTTAGTTATCTGTTCTGTCGAAATCAGATACAGTTACTTGAGCAACCACCACAACACAACACCCTGCTTTGTAGAAGTACTACAAGTTCAGTGACAGGCACATCGATGGTTTCTGTGGCCTTCAGAACTAAGTGAAAATGGATTTGGGTCTCTCCTGTGTCATGCCTTCAGAACCCTTGCCTCAGTTTTTCACTTTCTCAGTCAGTGTCACCTTTTCTGCTTCTGCTCCAGTAACTGATGTATATTTTGTTGGCAAGTGCCATCAGCCTAAACTCTGAATGGAGTCAGAGGGCTGGGACTGCATGACTCACTTCCTTTCTACACTTAGCCATCAAATCCCTCTGCTAAGCCTATTAATCTAAACCCTAAACCAAACTCAACCAGTCTTCTTTCCTACTAAGTATGTTTTTATCTAATGTGCACATGACCAAAGTTTTGATAGACTATATTTAGAGTGTCAAGTACAAGATGCAGAGGAGAGCAGGATAACTCCGTCTAGTAGAGAGAAGGAAAGTATTAGAGGGAAAGGAAATGATGTTTAAGGTAGGTTTTAGGATTTTCTGGGCTGGGTGAGAGGAGAAGAAGTCAAGAGGTGTGAAACAGCCTGGCATGATGGGGAATATAAAGATAGATATGGTCTCAATGAAAAGACTAATGGAGAAATTTTCTTCTTGCAGTAGGAGACAAAGTCAGATGCCAAGAAGAATTGGGATGCAGTACCTTGGGGCCAGTGAAGATGTGAATGAGTGAAGAGGAGACATCTTCCTAGAGATATGGAAGAAAACATATCACAATAATAATGTTCATTTTTAAGACTTCAAAGATTCTACCTAGTCAGCTGTAGGACCCTTGCCCGAGTGATACTATTACAGTGAAGGCCTCAGGCATCTATTTGCAAGGAGGTGTGAAAACAGCCATAGGGCTTACTTTTGAATGAAGTGCTTTGCATGGAATAGTCATGTCAGGCAGATGTCACAATGATCTGGTAAGGAGCACAAAACTTCTGCCTATTAAGTAACAGAATTATGCTCTCTGGTAATATGGATAAGACACTGGACTGTGACAGAATCCTATGCCTAAAGTATCACTCTAGCAGGAAGTTAGAGCCTTAGATTTGCATTTACGCAATGGTAGAAATGCTATACAAGATAGCTAACCAATTCAAATATCTTGAGGACTACTAGGTTGAAAACTAAAGCTGAGGTGTCTATTGGCCAATTAAAACCATAGATCTTGATTTCAGTAGCACAACTGAGATAAAAAAGGAGGAATCATCAGCAAATGAATCCCGGTTGTTAAAACTAAGAAGGTCAATAGAGCAAGCAGAGAGGGAGGGGAAGGGAAGGGGATGAAAAAAGAATTAAAGTATGTTATATACATGTACCAACTCCCCCACAATGAATGTAATCATTATGTCTGTAAACATATACAGTAAAGGTTAATTTTTAAAAAACACAGAAGGAGGTAGATAACCCAACAGAGTATAAATTGGAAAAAGAATCCAAAGAATAAACTTTAAGAGACCCAGTAATGAAGGTGTAGGCAGAGAACAGGGAGCCAAAGAAGTTGATTAAAAAGTGGAAGAAAAACAAGGGGTGTGTTATCAAGGCTAAAATGGGAGAATTCAAGGAGAGTGTGGGAGGTCCATCTGGTCAAATACTGTAAACCACAGAATTCCAGTAGAATAATAACTGACATGTGTCAACCAGATTTGGCAAAAGTACAGTGGAGAAGAGAGAAGACTATGAACAAAGGCAAGAGAAATAAACCTTCTGTAAGAGGAGTGAAGTTTCTTCTGTCACTGGCAGGAGGACAGTGAGGATGGATGTGAATGCAGACAAGTTTGTAAGTGAGTTGATGGAATTAAAAAGCCTAATCATCCTAGTTGTACTTATAAAGTAAAAGGTAAATGCAATTCCCAGAGCAACTGGGACTAAGTTATTAATCTCTTGAAGATCACAGATGCTGAAATAATAGGATTTGATAAAAGCTACTGGTAAAAAGGGAAAAGGACTTCCACTAGCTCCAACAATACATCTACCTACCCTTGGCATCCACATTTAGAGATGCTGCTCTGCTTTTTCCTTCATTCCATGCTCCAAGCCATGGCCGAACCCTCTTCCTGTCTATGTAATCCCATCCTCATAGACTCAAACACATCATTCTAGCATTTCTCCTCTGTCCTAGGTATTCACATTCACACAGAAAATATGCTATTATTTTTTCCACTAAAACAAAAAATCAAACAGAACTTGACCCCACTTCTCTTTGTTACTCTCCATCTCTGTCCTTTCCTTTAGGACAAAACTTCTCAAAACAGTTGCCTGTTCTTGTCTTTTATTTCTCTTTTCCTATTCTATGTTGAATCCACTCCAATCAGACCTTTGCTCCCACACCACTCCATTCAAACTGCTCTCATTAAGGTCACTAATTACCTCCAAATTACTAAAGCCAATGGTCAATTCTCAGTGCTCATCTTATGTAACCTAGCAGCATCTGTCACAATTCATCTGGGATAACTTTCTTCACAGGACTTGTCAGACAGCCTGGATCCTTCTACCTCACTGCCCACCCTTTCTTGGCCTCTTGGCCTCCTCTGCTGGTTCCTCCTCTTCTATCTTCTTAAATTGGAATATTCCACCAAGTCTTCAATCTTCCTCTTCTCTGTTGATGTGCATTTTTATAGCTAACAAACCTGCTAATTGCACTTCTTGTCTGTTAGCAGTTACTTTGCAAAGTTGTTAGCATACATTTATGCTTCTTACTTGCTCCCCTTCTTTAAGAAATCATAGTCCAGTGTAATGATCAGGGATGCACCCCATTTCTTTTACAGGAGGCCTGAGGGTGGCTCAGTACACTGCTCCTTCTGTGGACTACCACCTAGGCACCTTCATTGCCTCTCTCATGATTCTAGTCCCAGGGACTTGAATGCTTAAAGACTGACCTTCACATGAGTAGGGTGCTACTTTATTGAAAGATATACCTTGGATTGCCAGGTGTGGTGTGCATGCCTGCAATTTTAGCACTTAGGCTAAGGCAGGAGGATTGCTGTGAGTTCAAGGCCAGCCTGGGTTACATGGCAATTCAAGGCCAGCCTCAACTACATGAGACCCTGTCTCAAAAATGACAACAACAGGGCCAAGGATTTAGCTCAGTGGTGCCGCCACCTGTGTTGAAAGCACAAGGTCCCGAGTTTGATCCCTGGTACCAAAAAAAAAAAAAAAAAAAAAAAATTGACAACAGCAACAAAAACCTTGGATTATAAAAACCTTCTCTAGAGATTACTAGCATGCTCGTGCATTTATTATTTTCCTATTTTTATCCTCCCATAGTGTGATGTTGGAGGTGGAGCGAATAAAAAATAATGAAGATCTCTCTCCATTAGAATTTGCTCTTGGTGTCTGCCCATAATAAATTATAGTAAAATTATTTCTTAGGCCTAGAGGTAAAAACTGCTATATATTTTTTAATTAGAAAATTAGTGAGTCACAATTAAGAACCCTTTAAAATGTGAGATATATAAGAGTTAGATAAAAATCTGACAGTTTTCATGAAACTACCTAATCAAATTTGTTTTAAATTGCTTTATCATCTTTACAATCCACTTGACAACATATGAATACCTGAATTATTATCGTTAACTCAGCCCAGTACTATACCTACCTTATATTTTGATGTATCCCAGTTGTGGACTATGCGTGCTGGGATGAGGAAGCTGTCGTCCACATGGCAGCTGCTGCAGTAGTACCATCCACTGTAATTGCACACCTTGGCTTTCCCATTGGAAAGGCCGATAGATCGCTGGCATCCTGTTCAAGGCAAAAGAAGGAGTCTGATTGTTGCCCTCTGAATACCACAAAACAAGCCTACACAACCCTCTAGCTAAGTGAAAGAAGCTACAGAGAATGCATGCAGATGTTTCCTCATGTTCCTAGTCTGACAGTCTCTACCCCTTCATTTCCTGGAGGTTCACTATGTCATCTTAATTGGTTCCATCTTGGGTCTCTTCTGATTCTATCTGTTCTGCATACAGCCTCTCTTTATTTCCGCATTTTCTCCCTCAGAATTCTATTTGCATTAGGCACTTTGCTGGCAGCTTCTCATATAGACTCTTGTTTAACCAACACATATTCTGTTAAGAATAGATTGTTAGCTCTGTGCAACCGATGAAGAAGTGAAGGTTTTTGCAAGATTAAGTATGTTGTTTGAGGTCATCTAACCCATAAAATGTAGAGTCTGGACTTGGCTCAAAGCCTGTCTGACATTAAAATGATCCTAAAATCTGATACGTAGCCTTCTTTTGCTTACAGAATCAGTGTGAGGAATCTGGTCTTTGACTGGCCCCATCTCACCTTTCCAACTTTTCCTCCCACCATCTCCAGTGGGAATATAACCTCTTTATTCCAGTCAGAGAACTCTCCACACTGCCCGCTAGATAAACAGTGTGTGCATTCTACCCTCCATAGAGTAGCACACATTATTTCTCCTTACACAACACCTTCTTTTCTGCTCTCTACTTTGACAAATCCAGCTCATTATGCAAGACCAGTGGTGGCTGGCAAGTGGCTGCTAATGCCCATTTCATATTCCACAAGTCCATTATTCTCTAAGCACTGTCTATGTTCCATCAGGAAACCTGGCAGTCAGCATGACCTTGCCACAAGGAAGCCATTATTTTGCTTTCACTAGGAGCTACTACCTTATACTGATGAGTATGGAAATTCCGTTACAATCATCCAAAAGGACAAAATCCTGGCAGGTGATCAAGAATATACAAGCCCCTCACTATTCTGATATTTCTGACCTAAAACCTTCAGTTTAGAAATCCTTCTCTGTGGAACTTTTCATAGTTGAGTACCAAAAATAATATGTTTAATGGGGGTTTTTTTTGGTACCAGGGATCGAACTCGGGACCTTGAGCTTGCAAGGCAGGCAGCGGAACCTCTGAGCTAAATCCCCGGCCCCCAAAACAATATTAATCAAAGAGATCTGGCACTATTTCATGATGTGAGCACAAAACTGAATTACTCTTTCAATAATAATAACAATGTAATGATCAGGGTTGCATCCCATTTCCTTTATAAGGTCCTTAAACACATTTATTTAACTGGGCCACGGATTTAGCTCAGTGATTCTGCCACCTGCCTCGCAAGCACAAGGTTACTGAGTTCGATCCCTGGTACCAAAAAAACCCCACCACATTTATTTAACAAACTGCCAACCTAAAAAAATACTGATTCACATGAACTCCAAGGATAAAAGTATCACAAAACTCCAAAGAACTTCTATCACAAATAAACTGAGGTTAATAATCAGTTTCACGGTGCATCCTTCAGAAAGAGAATTAGATCCTATTGTTTTTTAATATAAGCGGTATTGAAAGGTAGGAAGTAAATATGTTAGTATTCTGCTTCAAATGAATCCTCCAATGGATTTCTTTACTATTGAGTAGCAACAAAATCATTATAACCTCCTGTTTTTCAGGCTGGCTGAGGATGAAGAAAGAATGTGTGAAAGATAAGGAAGAATGAAACAAGCTTCTCTTTGACAGAGCAGACAGACATTGTCACAACCCAGGGCTGTGAGAGCTGGAATGCAGTTTCCTGTCCTTGCAGACTGCATTACTCACTTGGCACTTAGCATGTGCTTTCTTAAACTGTCATACCTTTTTATGGGCTTGTCATGGCAGCCATATTATAAACTACTCAGAAATATTTTTTATTCTTAGCACTTAACACAGAGCTTTTATATATAACAGACAATCAATAAATGTTTATGTTGATAGGATAAGCTGTGCATCATTAGGCACATGTACATTCACATACATATAAAGAGACTTTAATTTCCAATAGCTATTCCAAAATTGATCCTTTTAGCCCTGTTACTTGGCTCATGAAACAGCCTACTCTCATTAGTACTGCTGTTAAAATATATATATTGCATATTAGACACTTGTCCATCTATGACCTGTAGGATAGAGTTCAGTGGAACCTGATATATCCTAGACACAGGGATACTGCTGTTTCCAGAAATTAGTAGATAGTCAAATTAAGTTAAAAATTAAGTTATTCATATCACTAAAATGATATGAATACAATTCAACTTTTCCTAATCTTAGGAGGTGACCATGATCATTAGAAATTTAAGATCATCATTATAGCTCAATCTCACCGTAGAACCCTGAAAAAATGAATTAGGTTATCTTAGCTTTTTGGTTGCTTGAATTTTGGATATGATAAATATCAATAAGCATTTTCTGGATATTTATATATTCTTTCATAAGTACTACTGGGTTTATCATTCTATAATTTTAAAGATGTCATTATAATTTTCTGGACACAAAATAGATAATATCAAAATACACAAATATGCATTTTAAGAGAGAAATACACTGGGCATACAGGTCCAAAGCTGGGGGGTCAGCTATATAAGCTAACAAATGAACTAAACACAATTTTGCATAGGTCTCTGGGCTCATAAAAGATAGGAAGGGTTAGAGAACACAGTTAGCATTCACTCATTCAGATTTTAGTTTAGATGAAAGCAGCAGGACACACCTTTCTACCCTAATCTAGAATCTTGCTATCCTACTATTGGTGTTGAAGTCACCCTTGTGGCCCTGAAGTTAAGTCTGAATCTGTCTGCGTGCTTGTGGCTATTCTGGGCCCGGAGTGCTTAGAGTCAGGAAGATCGGGTCTGTTCTTGCCCAGGGTATACTGTGAGTCTGACCCATCAAACTCTCAAACCCTGCTTCTTCACCATAAAATAAAGGAGGTAGCCCAAAGTGGTGGATTGTCAAATTCAATGAGCATTAGAATTTTCTAGAGATGTTTGTGAAAAGTATTGACACTTTCCCTAACATGATTTTGATTTTGCAGACTTCGAGTAGGGACAAGGAATCCAAATTTCTAATAAGCATCACCCCCCAACCTCCACCAGAGACCATGATGGGTAAAAGCTGAGCCTCGCTCCCTGATTTCTAAGTGACCTCGAAGGTCCCTCCAAGCTCTGAAAGACTGATTTTATTCAATAAAAGTACAGAGTGCAGGCAGACTGCTCATAATTTTGTCACACAGTTTACTTTCTAGGCTTCCAAAATCAACATTTCAGGATCTTGGTCAATTTCTAAGAACTGGCTAGTAGAAGCAACTTGAATTCATTTTACTAGCATTTTCCCAGAGCATTCTTATCTCTTCTGGGAAGTATCCTACTTAACTTAGAATTAAAACTTTTCACCTCCAGATCAAATGTATTTGTCATTCAAAGGGCATAGGATTGCTGGGAAAGAAGATTAGAGGCTGGTTAGTGACCTGAGGTAGACTCATTTTCTAAAAAACAACCCATACCATCTATTTCAAGAAGGAAACACCCGCTGTTTCAATTAACTGCAAGATTTCCTTAAATATCACACTAACAAATCATGGGCTAAAAATGTCTGAAACAATTCTCCATAAAGATACACAATCTGGGATTTTACTTTATCTTTGTGAGGTTTTCAACAGGGGAAAAATGTGTTTTCTTAATAATGACTGTTAAAAACTGTTTTCAGAAGGTGCCAAAGCTGGTCTCTGAAAGCAACATTATGGGAAATAAAAAAAGATCTGTAAGTTACGACAAAAAAATAATTAATTGAAATAACTAATTAGAGCTTATTTACATATATTTTATGTACTTTCAAACAGATTTTTCAACAGTGTTTCTAAATTAAAGGGCATTTGTAGAAGGGAACACTCTACATGTTAGATCAAAGCAAATACATTCTTCCCAGTTTCTTTTTGAAACTTTTCAAAGTGTATTCAATTCATAGGAACAAAAAACTATCTCACAAGAGAACCCACTGGCCTTTTTTTTTTTTATTGCTTCCCACCCTACTTCAAATCTTTAATGAACACATGCTCTGAAGAGCTTAGCTTACCCTCCGATACACTTTTGGAAACAAATGTTACCATTTAACCAAAATCCTATTTGCTGCTCTTACAGTCCATTTCCCAAATGGCTTTTCACTAAAACACCCAAAAGAATCTGTTGCTGGGGGTTGAAGCAGAAATTTTGGCCTAACTCTCCACAAAAGCACAACCTTTCTTCCAACAAATGTACCTAGTTAGCTCAGCTGGCTGCAGTGTGGTATTACTGAAGCGAGATCTTGAGCAGGGGCCAACCACCTTCTCTCTGCTTCATGGCTACCAACTTCAGCCCATCTTGCCCTGACCAGCAGCGGGGAACCCATGAGCAAAAGAGATAAATAACAAGAGTTGAGTCCGGATCTGTGTGAGTCTCTCTCATTGAAGAAAGCATGCATTCAATGCTAAGTGTGGTCAGTTATGCCACCCCATTTCCATTTCCTAAAAGTAAGCTTTTATCCAATTTAGTAAGGTAAAGCCAGTGGTTTGTGATTGGAAGGTAGAAATGCTCTAAGGAAAAAATAAGTTGCCATTGAAAAAGGAGGAAAAAGAGATAAAGAGAGTGAGAAGACACATTTTCATTTGCTCTGCAAAACAAAGAAAAAGAAAAACTGGTATTTCATATCCTCTTTTATCATATGCACAGGGCATGCGAAATATTCACAGGAGCAAGGGAGGGGGCTTCCCTTCCTCCTGTGTCCCAGCAGGAACAGTGTACTGTGGTAAGTACTATGTAAAATGTTGCTTGAAGGCCTCAACTTTGATCATATGCTCTTGAGACCATATTATTCCAAAATTAAGGAAAACTGAAGCAGAGGTTCAGTGAGACCTGCTATTTCATAAGAACTGGAGATGGTGGTAGCTGTGGGCATGGGGGTGTAGTTAAGTGTAGAGCACCTGCTTAGCAT